TCTGTACACTGCTGGTGACATGAGGACATGTTGTGATTACATAATGGCGTGATCTTATTGGTAATGAACAATTTAGGGCTATTTGATTTCAATTTTCTTGATCTTTGTCATTAATTTCATTGTAGCGATGGATGCATATGCTTTTCTGGTGGACTGGTTTCAGAGGTTTCCTCAGTACAAGGACAGAGATTTCTACATAGCAGGAGAGAGTTATGCAGGTATTGACTGGGAATGGATCTCTTAGCATTCAGCAGTGTGTTGAGGAGATCTCACTTGAGCTATTGTGGTCTCATTTGATTTCAGGGCATTATGTTCCTCAGTTGTCCCAGCTTATCTACAGGAGAAATAAAGGGATTCAGAACCCCTTCATTAATTTGAAAGGGTTCATGGTATTATTCAAAATCTTCATGAAGTGCATTCTATTATTCATTCACATATATATATTGATATGATGAATATGTGTGATTTCAGGTGGGCAATGCTGTTACTGATGATTACCATGATTATTTGGGTACATTTGAGTACTGGTGGACGCATGGCCTGATCTCCGATGGCACCTACCATGATCTGAATGCCACATGCAATCTCCAATCCTCAGAGCATCCTTCGGTTGAGTGCGTGAAGAACCTCAATGCAGCCACTGCAGAGCAGGGCAATATCGATCCCTACAGCATATATACTCAACCTTGCAATTCATCTAGGTCTCTTAAAAGTAGCCTAAATGGTCGCTATGTAAGATCTCTAGCACCGCAACATTCCTTGTCTTGCAAATCATATAGTACGAATATGGATGTGATAGTTTGACAACTATATGCTTTTATTTTTGTCATATGAATCTTGCTAATAAAGCTAAATACAACAACAACAACAACAAGGCCGGTAGTCCCAACTATTTGGGATCGGCTACATGGATCTTTTACCGTCGTTGAGATCCGTAAAATGCTATATGTTTAGTTAAGTTTAATGTACTTAAATATTTATTTATAGTTTGTATTAAAGTCTTTAGGTCTTTCTCTACCTCTCGTCGTACCACTAACTTTAATCATTTTATCTTTTCTGATTATCGTATTTGGAAGTCTTCGAAGGCTAAGTGCATGCTTAAAATTGGTAAAGATTGATCCAAAGGCAAATAGGCAGATCAACGTCTGTGCACTTTGAATATCAGTTTTGTTCTCAATTATATTGCTCTTCATGGTTTGTTACATGTTTAGTCTATATACATGCTCAAATACGAACTTTGGGCCATCACACATGTTTATATCCCTTATCTCTCATCTGTACTATTCAGCCTTGGATGTCAAGAGCATATGATCCCTGCACTGACAGATACGCCAAAGTATACTACAATCGTCCCGAAGTGCAGAGAGCACTCCATGCAAATGTTACAGGAATTCAATATCCTTGGGATACATGCAGGTTTTTCATATACCATGAATAAAATTTGATTTGTCTGACATTTTTCTCATGAACATTCAAATAGTGGTCTTTGATTCAGTGACAACTGACATTATATGTTTACCTCCGTCGTCAGTGATATTGTAGGAAACTATTGGGCAGATTCTCCTAGGTCCATGCTACCTATTTATCAGGAGTTAATTGCAGCTGGTCTAAGAATATGGATGTTCAGGTACATATTCTTTCTCACTACATAATTTTCTTGCATCTAGTCTTGAGATTAATTCCTAAATTATCCAACCTTATCTGCTATGTGAAATATATTTATACCAGTCACAGGCTTTACCAGGTACCAAACTTTGACTAAATCAATAGGAAAAGTAAATTATTTAGTCTGATTGAAGATGACAGTTGCCGAGTAATATATAACAAGTAGATTGAAGCTTGCTTTACTTGGAACATATGTAAAACTGAGGTGGGAACTCATCTGAAGTATTTTATTCTTTCTTTTATCTTCGAATGTTAGATATCTATTAATTATTTCAGTTCTATATATTTAGCAAGAAAAAAGCTCCTTATAATACTTAATTCAGTTCTGTATGACAGACTGAAAAGAACTAGCTACTTTCTCTTAAATCAGCTTGAAAATCCTTCTGTATGCAGTTTAAGGTTTTCTACAATAACAACGTTTTTTTTTCCCTTTTGTTTCGACAATTCCTATATGTCAACATTCATTTGTTGAACATAATAATTCAGTATCATTGATAGCATTTGGTGTTTAAATTGCAAAATACAAGGATGATTAATTGAAATATATTATGTATATGTGTATTTAGCAACTTTCATTGAAGAAATCTGTCAATAGAACCCAAATGGATCTATCTTTTCGTTCAAGAAAGTTTTTATAAGACATATAAAACCTGCCAAATAAATTTTATTTCATGCTTAAATTGGAAGATGCTCGTTCACAGGACTGCACACAAACTCTTCTCTTTTCTGTGGAACTAGTGTTAAAATTGCAACTTTAAAACTATGTTCCAGGTATATTCCTCAGATCCTTCCCACAACGTCCTACTTTTACCAGCCTTCTGTGATACTGCAGATCACCATCATTTATTGAGTCCTGACTGCTGATAATGTGCACTTTGGCAGAAGTGCTTTCCACGCTTTTGAGATATATGTTAATTATATAAGACTCATCCTTTAGTATGCACATATGATGAGTGGTTGTAGCTGTAATATTAGTATGATATATATCCCTTGCCAAGAGAATATGCAATACATGGACTTTTAAAATCAACCTACTGATTTAAGATAAAAAATTCTTGTCCCTTCATGTGGAAGTAAAATAAAAAGAAGGAACTTTAAAAGCTCGAATACTATGGGAATGGACAACATATTTTAATCATGATACCGGCTATGACAAACCAATCACAAAATATCTCCTTGGTGCTAGATAAGAATGAAGCTAATTTCATGATCAATAAGATTCTTCAAACTGCTTCTGAAGTGTTAATTTCTTCCATCTCTGCTCCTGATGGTTACATTGATTTTATCTTTTTCATGTTCCTCATTCATCCTGTTGCTACTCCATGTGCTTCCTTGGCAGTGGAGACACTGATGCGGTGGTACCTGTGACTGCAACTAGATACTCCATTGATGCTCTTAACCTCCAAACCCTAATAAGTTGGTATCCTTGGTATGACAAAGGAAAGGTCAGTCGGGAAAAATCCTTCTTTACGATGGTCATTCTGGCACCAACGTATACTTGAATGAATCCATCTAATTACTAATCAAGATGTTTTTTCTTTCAACTCTATGCTTCATTGTTTGACAGGTTGGTGGATGGAGCCAAGTTTACAAAGGTTTGACATTTGTGACGATTATGGGAGCAGGGCATGAAGTCCCTCTTCATCACCCTCGGCAAGCTATGATACTATTTAGACAATTCCTAAAGAATCGCCCCATGCCAAGGTAAACCACAGAGCATGACAGACTAGGCAACCATACACAGAAGATTAAGCGGAGCAAATCTGCAAAATCATAGAATCCATGATTAATATATTCTTTTCACATCATAACTCTTTTGATTCGATTGGTACTCTTCTTAGGTTATTGAAATTTTTAGCAACCAATGTACCATCAGGTGTCAATTAAGGTTGGCCAGAAAATAAATACTAGGCGCAGCGATAAGGGGTATTACATTTGTATTTATTAGCATGTCATGAAGAAATCTTATCTCTCAATGGAATTGCACTCGTCGATTTACTGTATGAAACATGCTGCCTTTATTAAATTTCTACTAGCAACTCCATCGTTTCTCAGAAAAATCATACCATTTGATGGATCAAATATACCATGAATCATCTGCTTACATGACTTGACAGATGACTTCCCTGATACCAGCAAATTGCTCATAAAGGATAAAGGTATATGATAATGGAAGAAAAACAAGGTTGATGGTAAAAGGTGAGAAGAAAATGTATTTATCCTACTATGATTGATTTATTAGTTTTTCAGAAACAAATTCACTGAGAGTCCATTGCTCACAACTATAATGTCCTTTTATGACTGTATCATTTTATTTCCAAGAAGTTTATATCATTAGATACCCTAGACATATGATAAGAAATATTCTGAGATAACATATGTGTTGTTTGTTAATGATGCATGATATGATTTTGGGCAATGTTCATATAACACGAACTATATAGCTTACAACAAGGCATTGAGGCACAGGGTCTCAAAGGATATTGGATTTATCAAGCTAGTTGAATAGCCTTTCTTGCTATGATCCTCACAAGCAGCTTAATCTTGCTGTATCAGTTGCATGTGTAAGAAACTGGCACATCAATATCAAAATGCAGCAACATTCAATAAGTAATTTCTTACTATTGTGCTTGGTTGTGTGTCCTCGGATACACTGTTGTTGTCACTGCAAACAGTAGTATTAGTTGCAGTCAATTCATTGCTGTTTACTTTACAGTTTCTCCAGAACAAAAACTACAATCACCAGTTGGAGGAAGAAATAATTTCTCACTTTATTCAATTTATAAAGTACTTGTCAATGTTGCACTCACTGTATCCTTTATAATTTCTCATTTTGATATGATTAGGCATTGCAGCTGTTTGGATGAGCATATTATGGCAGGAAAGCAGATAACACATTGAATTTGAATCATTATGCCACATGATTTGAAGACTGAAACCAAACACTTCTTGTCTACTTAACTGTGTTAGATAAGATAACATGATATGTTACTGCTGATGAATGCTCATTTAAGATGGAATTCTCACCTTATTAGGCAATTCTTTTTGTTACCCTTCGAACGTGACCTGAAGCGCGACCCGCGTGGTGATTAGGGGGAGACATGGGCTCCTGTGGGACCCAGGACATGTGGTCATCCAAGTGGACTGTGACGCTTTCTTACGCTAAACCGCCGGAACACCGCAATCCGGCTACCGTATCAGACCGGATGGTGTGACCTACTCGGATCTCATACCACTACGTCATCCGCCCGGTAGTTCGTTGCACGGGGTCTTTCTGTTGGACCCATTTAATGGGTCAGTAAAGGAGCAGGTAGGTGGGTTGGTTAACGGGGAAGTCTTTCGCCAAAAACGGAAATTAAAATAAGAAGAAGAAGCCTAGGTTTTTCCGGTTACCCTTTCTGGCGTGTTTTGATTTCTTCGATCTACCGATCTCGCGGTGGAATGGCGAGGGGAAGCTCGCAGTCGCAGACGGCGTCGTCGGCGGGGGGTGGGGCGCGGCCGGCCACGGTGGGGCCTCGTGGGACGCCCGCGGCGGCGGCGGGGATGCGGAGGCGGAGGCTGGGTGGCGGCGGCTCCGCCGGGGGGTTCGGAGGCGGAGGCGGCGGTGGCGGGGGGAGCAACATGTTGCGCTTCTACACCGACGACGTCCCCGGGCTCAAGATGACGCCCACGGTCGTCTTGGTGATGAGCCTCTGCTTCATCGGCTTCGTCACCGCCCTCCACGTCTTCGGCAAGCTCTACCGCTACCGCTCCTCCGGTGGCTCTTGATCCGCCTACCCCCGATCTATTGGCGTACGCCGGAGAAAACTATGTAACAGTTCGTGATCGCTACCTTTTGTCTTTCCGCTTTTTGATTGATTCTATCTCGTGTTGTTTTGATCTGAGGGTTTGAAGAAAGAGTACTTCCGAAATGGAGTCTCATCTCTTCGTAGGCTCTGATCTTTTGCACCAAGCTTATCTTTCCTGTTCTCGCATTAATTTGCTCATATATTACATTGCATGTTCTCTTTCTGAGATTGTTCATACATATTTCAGCTCTTTGTTCATACATATACAAGCAATAGATTTTTCATGCATATATTAGCTCTTTGTCAATTACATAACACTCGTTGATGACTAAACCTTCAAAAAAACATGTAAATCAAGCATTTGATGATTCGTAAAAAGATATCGATTGAGGCTTTGAACCCTCAACCATCGTAAATGGGGTTTCTGCGTCAAATTGCTCGGCCGAGCTAGTTTTACCTTTGTGCCAAGATTAGCTGGGCACTGCTACTATGGAAAAGAAAGTGATGTCACCCTGGATTGTCTGAGGGATCTTCTTGAGGCCTCATTTTGGAGAGTATTAATGAAGCTGAAGATAAGATTCAATTCATATAATTGGAAGACAGAGAGATTAATTGAATAACAATTAAGATTATTTGATGGATGACAATGACTTGATTGTGTGTGTGTTTTTTTTTTCGGTTATTTCCTCCAAGTCCTCAAGAACCTGATAAAGTTTACAAGGTGAGGAGCATTTGCTAGCTCTAGCTTTTCAGAGCGGAAAGGGCTATAGATGGCTTAAAATTCGGAAATGTAGGATATAATTGGTGACACTAATAATATTCTGACTTCAAGAACTCAATTCCAATGATATAGTCTAAAGACGTTTACCCTTCCAAACATGTTTGGTAAATGGGACTCAGTATTGAGTTGTCTAAGGATGTTAGCTGGATTGTTTGATTCACTCCTTCAAAGATCCCTTATTTTGGACAAGCTTGAGATATATTAGGATGATGGTTTTTATTCATCTCCAATCAGCTATGGCAGTTTGTGATTTAAACGTTGGCTTAAGACTTGATTCTCTATAGAGTTTCTTCTTGCTTCTTGTTGGATGTTGTTTTAGATATGAGCATTGTTACATGGACTTCATGCCCAAACCCACAATCTGTGTTGTATGTGTATCTTCCTTGTGCAAGTCATTCATTTATCAGACTCTTAAACTAGTCCAATATTAAATGGTATACCGATAACCACTGTGGCTACACAGTAGCTACTATATTCTGGTTCAGAGAAAAGAGTAATTGCAATGCTTAATTTTGGCTGTACTGCTTCAATAATGTTCGATCTGGGTCCACTTAGGATGTGGGCTGTAAGGCACTCGGTGTCCTATTTCAAATGCACCGCTGGAAGTTTTTTTGGCATGCCAAAGAAAGATAAGATGTTTTATCATCTTGTTAGCAATCTGATTGGCGTACAATTTCATGAAAACCTTTTGAAAGTTAAGGAGGTTTAAGTGGCTTTTAAAATCTGGTGAGTTCAAGGATCTTGAGAGGCCATATTGCCCATGCTTGCAAATTTGTCTAGAGTCTATGTTCCATTTTCTAAAAGAACCGGATATTTTTGTTGGGTGTTGTCGAAAAGTTGTAAGGCACACTTGTCATGTTAATGTTTTAGTCACTACCCGAAGAAATTTATGCTTACTAGTCTTGGAAAGCTTCAAAAAAATTGAAGTTAGTGATGATCTGACCAAACAGTTTGCTTATATCTGACTCATCAATATTATTCCATACAGATTCGTGGAGATTGGCAGTGAAATGTTCATTACTGTCGAATCGGTACTCAGAATAATACCATTTTCTTTTGCCAATTTTGATCCAATTTATCTTCCTACAAATTTCATCACCTTTTTCCTTATTTCTAGTCCTTGCCGTCCAAGTAGATATAGCTATTAGTTCAAAGTAGTGATCTTGCAGCTAAAATAAGCAATTGCTGTCTTCATGATAATATAACTTTTATATTCCAAGCGGTATGTGCATGTTATTTATCTTTTTGATTGTTGATATGGAGTGGAGTGCCCAGAAATAGTTAACTGTGAGATAGTATTCTCTGCTTAGCTACCAATATGGTCAGAAGAACTCTCTTATGCATGGATTCTTGCTTCCTAATATATCCAAAGGTATCTCTTTATGTTTAGTTTTCATATAGAAGAAAACTTTAGTGGATCATATTTCTCTTTAGTTAATATGTTACATTCAAACATCCTAAGAACTTGTTGTTGTGTTACATTCAAACAAAACCATCTTCAAAATTGAACAAAACTTGGAATGAATCCTATAGACTGTTTCAGATGTTTAATGCAGTCATTATTGCATAGCATGATGACAAAAGATAGTTGTTATGATGCTGAGTCTGATCATACTATCTTTGCTTGACTTGAGCAGTATATTTTCCTTTGGTATGAAGTGAAGAAGATTTGTGTGCCATGTGATGACAATGTGAACTGCTGTTGTTTCTTCCATTTTTTTGTGCTTCCTAAAGGCTCTCCAGAATAGTATATGCATATGTCAAGAGGGTTATCATCATCTCTAAAATGAGAATACATATTTGAATTAAAAATAGTTTAAGTATATAAAATAAAGTAATTAAAAATTATATATATTGTTAGAAAATATTATTCTTAGTGTTCGTCATCTAAGGCTAATTATCTCTTTTAATTAATTATTTTTAGTATCTCGATATTTATATTTTTAAAATTTAAATTAGGATCTTTATATTTATAAAAATAAAATATTTAGATCTTTATATTAAGATCTCTATATTTATAGAAATAAAATATTTAAACTTATTTTTTCTTATGTTTCTATCTTATTTCAATTTATCGTTGAATATATTCGATATTTTTATCAATTGAATCGACAATATGAGAAAAAATAAAACACAATAAAATATTTTAATTTTTAAAAGTATAAAAATTAAAATGTAAGGGATAATCTTTAATTGCCCATTGTCATTCAACATGACTCACCCAATAAAAATATACTATGATGGAGTATCTATCATGCATCAGATTGTTCGAGTTGTATCTCGTCATGCATTTGCATCAAATCTATTACAAGATGGGGTGCGTTCTGCACCCAATGCCTTGAGCGTATGCATCCGAGCTATGGAACTGCATCAGCCGCCTTTGTTCCCCGCTCGCTCCGTCGATCGCCCCCACAAGCTCGGAAACAACAGCTCCCCATTCACAGTGCTCGCCTCCCTCTCCTCCGCCGTTGTCGTCGTCGTCGCCGTCGCCTCGCACGCCGCTTGGTGGGCCAACAAGCTGTCCTTCCTGCTTCCACCGGCAACTAACCATATCATCCTCCCGCGGGCGAAGCGATTTTGAGCGAGGCGTTCGTTTACCTGGCGAAGAGGGTGCCGCAGTGGCACTCGTACTCCCGGGTGCCGCAGATCTTGGTGTGCGCTTTCCAGTCCGCCCGGACGGCGTACTTCTTGGGGCACCGCTCGCACTCCCACTTCTTCTCCCCGTGCTTCCGGCTGTAGTGCTTCTTGATCCCCGTGACGTCCCCGAGCGCCCGGGACGGGTCGTGGTACACGCAGCTCGCCTCCGGGCACACGTACACCCGCCGCCTCGCCCTCGCCGCCGCCTCGTCTGACGACGCCTTCTTCGCCGCGAAGTTCCACGGCAGGTTGTGCCCGCGGCGGTGTATCTGGAGGTTCTGATCCCGCCGGAACTCCTTGCCGCAGACCTCGCAGACGAAGCTGCTCGCCGCCAGCAGCGTCCCCGGCGACAGCGCGATCACCTCCGCCTCCGGATCTGCACCGCACCGAAACTGGTAAGCTTTTAATCGATCAAGAAATCGAGAAAAAGACAAGGGTTTTGCCTGGGGTTCCCGGAAGATTCCTCTTTCGCTTAGGCCTCCGATCGATGAGAGGATCTCGATCGTTGCTGGGGTTAGGGTTAGGGTTAGGGTTAGGGCTCGGATATGGACTAAAATTAGGGTTCGGGATCTCGTCCGATACCATCTTCTACCCCTCTCGACTTCCTCTCCTCCGCTTCCTCGTGAATGACTTCCTCGGTGGAAGACGACGACGACGCGACGCAACGGAGGCGTCGCTGTGGGCGAGAGACACGCTTCTGTTGTGGCACACTGGTAGTGGACGAATTCCGAATAGCTGACTGGTCCCTGTGAGTGGGGCCGTCGGATGTGACGGGCGAGACCTGAGAGATCGACACGTCAGGTGATACAGCTCGGTCACTTCTGTGAACGGATGAGCTCGTGTAAGATTCACAACAAGAAATCACATAAAATGGAAGCCGAATCAACTAATTAGGCGACCTCCCATTTGTGGATGTCTTGGACCAAACCAACACATGGGCCTATGTCTGTTTGGGTCATGTCGGAATCAATGTAAATGTTGATCCCATGTGTAGACTTTGGCAGGGTTGCGAATTGATTTGACGAACTATTTGAGATCAATTAGAAATTATTTTTATTATTAATCGATTTAAGATTTTTGTTCATATGATGTGATATAAATCGTCACATATTAGAATGGTTTATTATAATTAAATAAACCATGTTAAATTGACAAGTTAGAGAAAATTGATGTGATTGAAAAATCAATTTAAAGAATCAAATAGTGGAAATTAAAATTTCCAATCTAAGATCTGACTGAAAAATCAATAGGAATGCATGAGAATCAAACAATGAATATCCAAATAAAAGCAGTAAAGAAACGGATTGATGCGTTTGACAAGAGAAGGCTCAGGTGGGCCCAGTCGATTGATGAGGTGAAACACCACGTGGTGGCGGAGCCCACCTCTCCCTCCTCGACTTCAAGACGCGTAGTAGGTGTCCTTTCCTTCGCTTCCCTTCCCCCCCCCTCTCCTCACAAATCCTATTTGATCTCCTCTCGCCCTCTCGATTGCAATTCTTCCCCTTTCCCCTCTTAGAACAGTCACTCAATCTCATCGCCTCGACTCTCCCTTCGATCTCGTGAGGAGACGGGATAGGGATGGAGGTTCGGAACGTGGACAACGCGTCCGCCCCGCCGCCATCGCCGGCGCCGTCCTCCAAGCAGCCCAAGCCTCCGCCTAATCCCGTCGACACCGCCTCCGTCTCCCAGAGGTCCATCCGAACCCTCCCTCCCTTTCTTCGTTCCTTTGAATTGTTTCTTTGCTTTATTTAGGGGTTCTTTTTTATGATTAGATCGGTTTCCGATTGACGTTTCTCTTCGCAGGCTTCAGAAGGAGTTGATGGCTCTTATGGTGTGTTTTCTTCTCTAGTGCGTAATTTTGTCGATCTCTTTATTCTCTGTAGATCGAATATGATATGTTGTCGTCATAGATTACATATGATGCAAAGGCAGATTTAAATTCAAGTGTTGCAGCATCTTTCATGTAGTTTTAGTTTCGTGATATGGGATGTATGAATTTGTTGTTTGACCGATCGATCGATCGATCATTACTTCCAATAGGAACTTGGGAATCCTCCTTTACTTACATTTAATTAAATCCCAATCCCATTAGGGTTTCTTTCTGCATTTGGTTTCGCATTGTTGTCGATGGCTAAAACTCCTGGCCTTCTTTGTTCTGGTCTGTTATCAATCATCAGGATGCTCTATGTTGGTAGTGCCTGTTTCTGCTAACTGGATCTACAAGTTCTGAAGTTGCTTATGAAGCTTTTGATAAAGGCTAATCATGTTTTGAATTGAAATCAATTTGATCATTTAAACATGAAACATCAAAATTTTGTTATACGGATTAATATTTTCTTTGCTTATTATTCCTATGGGTAATGCTATATGGATTAATATGTTCTCCATGTGTGTGACCCTCTAAGAACATCTAATTACCATCTGGTACATGCTATTTGCAGAAGAGAACCCTTTGCGATGAATTAATTTTCTTTAGCATGGATTTGGAGACTCGGTAGATTACTTTTGCGGTTTTGAGTCTTCCTCCAGTATCAATATTCCTATGTCGGTATCTGATAGTTTTTTCGATCCACAGATGAGTGGAGATACTGGAGTATCAGCATTTCCTGAAGGTGAAAATATATTCTCTTGGATTGGTACAATCGAGGGAAGCAAAGGAACTCCTTATGAAGGCTTGTCGTACAAGCTTTCTCTGAAGTTCCCGTTGGACTATCCATTCAAGCCACCACTGGTTAAGTTTGAAACTCCATGCTTCCATCCAAATATTGATCAATGTGGCAACATTTGTTTAGATATCCTTCAGGTACTCTGCTGTTTAGCTGTACTATTAGGAAACTACTACCATGCTAATGCGGTGTGCTATACCTTTTACTCATGATATTTCCTTTGCCTCCGACCTAGGAAATGTGGTCGTCCGCCTATGATTGCAGATCGATCTTGTTATCTATACAGAGCTTGTTAGGAGGTAAATTGGATCTTTTTGAAGATATGTGATGGCACTTTCTCGTCTAACCGGATGTTCTATCTTGTTGATTTTGGATTATTTCATTTGACAGAACCCAATAATGAGAGCCCTCTCAATTGTTATGCTGCAACACTGTGGAGCAATCAAGAAGGTTTATATGTTTTCTCTATCCTTGACTCGTTACTACTATTCTTATCCGTTTTCTCAGCACTCCATTATATACAGAACAACCAAAACTGTGAAGGAAATGCATTTTGAAGTTTTGAGCAATAAGGTTTTTTTTTTTCTTTTGGGATATATTGTTGGTGAACATTTGGAGGTAAAGTTCTTCCTAAGAGTGTCTCTGATTGCTGAAATTCCGTTAAAAATGATATCGTCATTTCTTTCGATGGGATCCTTTTCTGTGCTTGGCAATAGTCGTCTGTTAATTTATCTTCCCGTAACACGCATGGTTAGTTTATCTAGAATCGCTACTTTGGTATGCGCTCGACCTGTACTCATGTTTCTTTGTGCTAACAGATTACAAGAAAATGGTGCATAAGCAGTACTCTAGTGGTGGTGAAGCATTAGAAAGCTGAATGTGACTCCATCATATGACTGTAACACCTGAACAGTTGGAGCGAGACTCCTTTCAGACCTCAACAGTACATTTCTCGTTATTTCTTCCTTTTACTAAAGACAACCGCCTATGTATGCTTCTTTCTTTTCTCAGTCTTTCAGTCTGTAAAATTAAGGAGACCTCAATTTGATGTTTATAAGCATTTGGGAGAAGTATCATACAACTGAAGTATCATACAACTGATAAGGTGGTTGGAAGTCATACCATAATTATAGCTAGTTTTGTGTTTTGACTTTTGATCGATTGCTTTTCTCATATCAGAAGTTGTGCACTTGATAATTCCAAATCTTTGAAGAGGTGAGGCATGGCAAAAGTGTATGGGTTGTCAGCAAACCCATACACTTTTTGTTCAAAACAAACCAACGGTTTCTTTTAGTTCATTTCGGAGTATCTAAAGTCATTGAGACACTGTAAGCCTTCTTCGACACCATGTCGTTCGTTGTACATCGCAATCCATCCGTCTCTTTACTCTTAACAAGATTGACGCCCCACTGATCACAGGATTGTTCATCCCAAAGCTACAATCGTTAGGATGACATGCGTGGCCGATATGGAGTAGCATTTGGTGAGCTTCGATCCAAGTAAGTCTACATTCGTCTCACCTTCAGTTGGCATTTGGTCCTCGATCGACTGGCAAACAGAGTTGGGATCCGCAAGAAATTTACTTCATGTGTTTTTTGTTCATGAAATTGAGAAATGTGGTGTTCTTTGGAAAGACGTTTGTGATTTCTAACGAAATTGAAATACCACTAATCCTTTCAAAAGGTTACCGAGAATGAAACTGAAAGCCAATGCCACAACCAAAACATTGGGAACCATAACAGGAGATGCCAATTTAATGCAACTGCTCAAATATAATGATCCTATCTACATTAAAAATATATATATCATGTGTACATACAATATGATAATATGAAATATATGAAAAGAAAATCAGCACATGTTGAAAACTGAAATATTATTTAATGAAGTCAAAAGGCTTAATATAAAGATAACAAATGAGTTCAATGAACTTTTGATAATCGAAAATCAAGATTCATCGTACCATACTAATAATCGTTCGATACAGATGATACCTAATACACCCCACTATATCACATATCGATACATACCGATGATCGATCGGTATACCGATACAGATCAATGTCACATCTAAAATCTGAAAATACAACCATCCGAGTATTTGTAATTGATCTCATACTCTCTTGCTAGTCCAAATTATCTAAATAGAAATCTGATCTGCAAGTGCTACCATGGCATGAGCCTTCTAACAAAGGCAACAGAGGTATAAAGGTGAACACCAAGGAAACAACACACTTCAAACTCAACCTTTCAAAAGTAGATCTACTCACATTTCCTTCCCTTTTTCTCTCATGAACAACCACTCACACAAAACTGGATCCATGTTTCAAAAATGAAGTACCATTTTGCACAAATCCAACAAAAAGAGCCGTATGATTTTGTAGAAAGAACATCAATTCGACATATGCAAACCAACAAAATTAGTTCAAATATCACAATAATCATCTGCTTTCTCCTAATTTTGAAGCTAAAAAGGAGACCTTTTCTTCTCGCTGTACAAGACTCGAGTGAGAGGATAAACACCACGATTTCACGATTTAGTAACTACATATATGAATATATATAACCATCCAGTATCCCTAATTCCATCGCCCATCACCCATAACCCATAACCCATCTATCAGTCTAAAAGAAGAGTACCCGAGTCGTCGTCGGAGGGCTGCAGAGCGCCGATCCGTATCTTGTACTTCCGGGAGCCGGAGGATGCAGGGTAATTGCTCTCCGACGACCCCTCGGAGGGAGAAGAAGGGGAGGAGGTGCCGTCGTAGGTGGCGACGCCGATAAGGCTACCGCAGCCGCGACAGAGCAGGCGGGTCTGGTGGCGGAAGAGGCCCCAGGAGCGGCGGGAGCGGAAGTAGGGGAGGCAGCGGAGCTCGTCGGCCTGCGTGAACCGGCTCTCGTCGATGGCGACGAACGACACGACGCCCTTCTTGATGGCCTTCCCGTACTCGACCCCGATCTTGGCGGTGTTCCGGTCCGACGAGCTCAGGTTCAGCGCGTAGCCGCAGTGACCGCAGCTGCCAAGACGAAATCTCAAGATACTCGGCCGCTTCTCCCAATTCGCGGTTTTCACACACAGGAGGAGGGAGTGTACCTGTAGAAGACGTCTCTTTGGGAGCAAGAGGTGGCGTCGCGGCTGGTGTTGTGGAGAACCATCGGAGATCTCGAGAGAAGGTACGGATGACAGGAGGAAGAGGAGGAGAAGAAGAGTGAACCGGCCGGCAGCGATCCTTTCTTTGTTGTTGCTCTTCTCGTCGTCGTCGTCGTCGGGGAAGACGCGTCTGTGCCTACCTCAATCGACCCCAAATCCCGTGTTAGAATCAATCGAGCCAACTGGTGCTGTCGTGTTCCAACAAGAAATGGTATTGGATTAGCATCACTGCGTTAAGAGATATGACTCAAACCCTATATATATATATATATATATATGTGTATATATATATATATATATATGTGTGTGTGTGTGTGTGTGTGTGTATATATATATATGTATGTATGTATATATATGTATGTATATATGTATATATATATATAC